TAGTAGTAGTAGTAGTAGTAGTAGTAGTAGTAGTAGTAGTAGTAGTAGGAGGAGGAGGAGGAGAAGGCCTTCTCAGAAGGCTCGAGAGTTCTTCGGCCTTTTGAGAAGTTTCCTAAGCCTTCACCGAAGATGCAAGTAATTTCTCAGAAGGCGGGAGGGCTTCTGAGAAGTCACGCCACCTTCTGAGAAGGCCGTTTCCTTCCCACTTCCCCCCTCGCTCGCCGCCGAGTGGTGCCGATGTCGACTACAGTCGGACCGAGATAACAGATCGAGGTCGGTTCGGGGAGCGTGCCCTCGTGTTCTTCGAGCCTGTTGGGCGCTCTTGTGCACTGTGGGGGGGGGGTACTCTTGGATGTTCTGTATGTATGGTTTGGCCGGCGGAGGGTGTCATGTTCTTGGAGGATCATCTTCTGCCCTGCGTAGGTCCGACTCTATACGTAAGAGTTGCCCTTCGCCGGAGTGACTTTTGGTGCGAGCCCATCGGGCACCCCCCCGATCGCTGAGCGCGATGTGACAGCAGCGGCCTGCGCGCCCTTGGATTTGGCCCCCTCGCGCCCCCCAGAAGCCGAGCACCAAAGGTCACTCTTACTCAGATCGCAGGCGATGTTTCTCCCCCAGCCCTTGACTTTTCGACGGCAAATGAAGCCGCTCAGAGAAGGAGGGGAACCCTGGCATACACCCCGAGGGGGCTCTTCGGAAGCACCCCTATCGAGGACGGACGCCCCCCCATCGTACATCCCAGTGTTAGGCCCGAAAGTCCGGGTCCGTTCGAACACCCTTCGAAGCATGGGATGGGGGTCGACATACTCCCTGTCACCAGGGTCACTTGTGCGTCTAGCCTTCGACGGCGAGGCGGCGCAGAGGGCTTGTTGGTGATTGGTGGCGAGCGAGGGGGGGAAGCGAGAAGGAGAAGGCCTTCTCAGAAGGAGGCGTGACTTCTCAGAAGGAGGCGTGACTTCTCAGAAGCCCTCGCGCCTTCTGAGAAGTTTTCCGAGTCTTCGGGGAAGGCCTGGAAAGCACTTCGGGATGCCGGGGGGCTTCCGAGCCCTCTGAGAAGGGCCGCCCCTTCTCATTTCCCCCCCTCGCTCGCCACCGATCTTCAGTGCAGCTGGATGATGCTCTGCTCCGCAATCGTCGTCTTCGTCGTCGTCGTCGTCGTCGTCGCCGATCTTGCGTCTAGCCGACGGTGGCGAGGCGGCGCGGAGGGTCCTCCCGCGCGGCTCGCGGCGCGCGCGGGGTCGCGGCAGGGGGGGGGGGGCGCGAGGGAGACCCGCCGCGGTGCCGCGCACGCGGGCGGGTGCGTTCCAGAGGCCTCCTCGCGCCGCGAAAACGTCACGACGGGAGGTGCCTCGCTGTGTTCGGCCTCCATGGAGGCCCTCGCCGGGCCTCGGGGCCGTCCAGAGACGATCCGGGATCAAGCGCCGGTCCCGGGGAATAGGTCGAGGCCTCCGGGGGTCGACGTTGCGAACAGAATCGTGACGTCGGGGGTCTGGGTTGGGCGGGCTCCTTCTCCTCCTTCGCCCTCGGCGTCGGAGGAGGGGGTCCTGGTCGGGCGAGGGGCCTCTCCCTCCTTCGCCCTCGGCGCCCTCACCCCCCGGAGTCCAGCACAGGAGCCGAGGGCGAGGATGAGTCGGCGCCCTCCTCCTCCTCCTCCTTTTGCTCCTCCTCCTCCTCCTTTTCCTCCTCCTCCTCCTCCTCCTCCTCCTTTTCCTCCTCCTCCTCCTCCTCCTCCTCCTCCTCCTCCTCCTCCTCCTCCTCCTCCTCCTCCTCCTCTCCTCCTCCTCCTCCTCCTCCTCCTCCTCCTCCTCCCTCCTCCTCCTCCTCCTCCTCTCCTCCTCCTCCTCCTCCTCCTCCTCCTCCTCCTCCTCCTCCTCCTCCTCCTCCTCGGTGAGGACGCCGAGGGCGAAGGGCTCGGGGGTCGACGTCGGGGGTCTGGGTCCGGGCGCCGCTGCTCCGCCGTGCGGGGGCCCGCGCGGGGGGCAGGCGGAGGCCGAGGCGTGTCGCGTGGCATCGCTCGGGCGCGTGCGCTGCCGCTCGGCGGGGGCCGGCGAGGCGCATGCCTCTTGGATGCGCTGGCGAAAGAGAGGAGGAGCGCACGGGGGCGAACGAGGCACGGGGAGGGGGAGGAGGAGGAGGAGGAGGAGGAGGAGGAGGAGGAGGAGGAGGAGGAGGAGGAGGACAGTCGAGGACGTCGGGGGTCGAGGGGGGTCTGGGTCCGGGCGCCGCTGCTCCGCCGTGCGGGGGCCCGCGCGGGGGGCAGGCGGAGGCCGAGGCGTGTCGCGTGGCATCGCTCGGGCGCGTGCGCTGCCGCTCGGCGGGGGCCGGCGAGGCGCATGCCTCTTGGATGCGCTGGCGAAAGAGAGGAGGAGCGCACGGGGGCGAACGAGGCACGGGGAGGGGGAGGAGGAGGAGGACCGGAGGAGGAGGAGGAGGAGGAGACGCCCGAGCGATGGCGAGGGCAGGTTCCCCCGCGGGCGGACGCGAGCGGAGGTGCCCATGGGTCATGGGCATCAGGTGATGCTGGGGGCCCCAGCTTCCGGAACACTTCGGGCGCCTGCCCACGTCGGTCCTCGAGCGGTGCCCCCTCGTCCTGCCTCTCGAGCGGGGGGGGGCGGGCGGAGGCGGGCTATGCCTTCAGCGCCTTCCTGCTTCGTGCTTTTGCCCGCCGCGGCGGGAGAAGGGAGGGGGGCCGTGCTCGCAGTGCGTGCGGAGAGAGAGAGAGAGAGAGGGAGAGAGAGAGAGAGAGCGGCAACAAGCAAGCAAAGAGAGAGAGAGAGAGACGTAGCCGTAGACGTAGACGGGACGAGGCTACAGGCTACATTGGAGGGAGATGCGCGCCCCACCTCGTGCTATTGGGATCCCTCTCCTCCTCCTCCTTGTCCTCCTCCTCCTCCTCCTCCTCCTCCTCCTCCTCCTCCTCCTCCTCTCTCCTCAGATCTTTTCCGAGCCCCTCCCCCTTCATCATCAGCAGGCGTCCTTCATCATGCGCCTTCTGCTGCCGGTGCTGCTGCCCCTCCTGCTCCTCCTGCCCTTGCTCCCTGGCTTCCCCCCTCCCCCCTCCTGCTCCTCCTCCTCCTCCTCCCCTCCTCCTCCTCCTCCCCCCCCCCTCCCCTCCCCTCCCCTCCTCCCCCTCCCCTCCCTCTCTCCCTCCCCTCCTCTCCTCCCCTCCTTCACTCCCCTGCTTCACTCCCCTCCTCCCCTCTCCCCGCTCCTTCCCCCCCCCCACTCCTAGGCCTTCCCCTCTCCCCCGCCCCCTCTCCCTGCGCGTGGCCGCCTCGGTCACCCCGTGGGCGTGCAGTTCCTCCTCGCCCTGCCCTGCCAGCGTATGCCCCAGCGCCCCGCCACGCGCAGGCGACCGCTCGTTCGTGACGGGCCTGTCCGGCGGCGTCGGCCCCAACAACGCAGCGGACCCCGTGCTGTGCCGCCCTCTGGCCAGAGAGGGGGGCTCCCGAGGGGGGATTGTCCGTGGGCCGAAGAAGGAAAAACGCCACAAATTGGCGGCGCCCAAAAGGGGTAGGGGGAGGGGGGAAGGCTTGTTAGAAGCACCCTGCTTCTTAGAAGGCCTCGGCCTTACGTCTATAGAGAAGGCCCGCGCCTTCTAAGAAGCAGGGGTGCCTCTAAGAAGCCTTACCCCCATCCCCCTACCCCCCTCTGCGCGCCGCCAAATAAACATACTTTTGGCGCTCCGCGCGGATTTCTTGGATCCGCGCTGGGTCCCCCCGGCGGCGCCTCGTGCGCCGCCTCGGGCGGGCTCCGCGCGCCAGTGAGGGGGTCCAGCGCAGATCCAAGAAATCCCTGCGGAGTGCCAAAACTTTATGTATGGCGTTGATTTCTTCTTTAAGAGAGGGAGTCCCCGACGGGGGGGGTCCGAGGAGGTGAAGGTACCCATCTTTCGGTCGCAAATCCAGGGGGCCTGGCATACCCTACACTCCGTCTTCAGCGACGACTGCCGTCGATTATGCTGATGTTGATGGTGCTGATGGTGCTGATGATGATGATGATGATGATGATGATGATGATGATGATGATGATGATGATGATGGTGCTAATGATGATGCTGATGATGATGATCCTGATGATCCTGATGATGGTGATGATGATGATGATGGTACTGATGATGCTGATAATGATGATGATGATGGTGGTGATGATGCTGATGGTGATGATGATGCTTATGATAGTGTTGCTGATGAACATGACGATGAGGATGCTGATGATGGTGATGATGATGATGCTGGTGATGATGGTCCTGATGATGCCTATGATGCTGCTGCTGATGATGGTGATGATGATGATGGTGATGATGATGATGCTGCTGCTGCTGATGATGATGATGATGATTATGATTGTGCTGGTGATGATGATTATGACAATGGTGATGATGATGCTGATGTTGATGGTGCTGATGATGCTGATGATGCCTGTTATGCTGCTGCTGATGCTGGTGCTGATGATGATGACGACGATGCTGATGCTGGTGCTGATGATGCTGATGATGCTTCTGATGATGGTGCTGATGATGCTGATGAAGCCTTCGATGCTGCTGGTGGTGATGATGGTGATTACGATGATGATGGTGGGAATGCTGGTGATGACAATGCTGATGTTGATGGTGCTGATGATGATGGTGCTGATGACGATGATGATGACGACGATGATGATACTGATGATGGTGATGATGATGCTGATGTTGATGGTGCTGATGATGCTGGTGATGCCCATGATGCTGCTGATGAGATGATAATGATAGTGACGATGATGATGCTGATGAGGGTGATGATGATGATGTTGATGTTGATTGTGCTGATGATGCTGATGATGTCTATGATGCTGCTGACGGTGATGAAGATGATGATGATGCTGATGCTGATGATTATGATGGTGATGATGATGCTGATGCTGATGGTGCTGATGATGATGATGCCTATGATGCTGCTGATCATGATGATATTGTTTATGCTCTCGATGATGGTGATAATGTGGATGCTGATGATGCTGATGTTGATGATGATGGTGGTGATGATGATGCTGATTGTGCTGATGATGATGCTGCTGGTGATGCTGATGTTGATGATGATGTTGATGGTGGTGCTGATGATGATGATGGTGCGGATGAGGATGATGATGAGGATGATGCTGATGTTGACGATGATGATGATGGTGAGGATGATAGTGATAGTAGAACTGGTGAGCAAGATGATGCTGCTGATGCTGATGTTCCAGCTGATGGTGGTGTTAATGCTGCCGAAGATGGTGGTGGTGATGGGGATGGTGTTGTTGGTGGTGATGATGCTGATGATGCTTCTGATGATGGTGATGATGATGGTAGTGATGATAACGGTGAGGTTGACGGTGATGGTGATGTTTCTGGTGACGAAGGCGACGGTGATGATGGTGATGATGATGTTGATGCTGATGCTGATATTGATGATTATGTTGATCATGATGCTGATTGTGATTCAATGATAATTATGATGATGACGATGCTGATGACGATTACGATACGGAGGGTGATGGTGATGTTGGTGATGATGATGCCGGTGATGATGATGGTGATTGTAATGGCGATGATGGTGATGGCGATGGTGATGTTGACAGTGATAATGATATTGAGGTTGCTGCTGATGTTCGGTTAAATGGTAACGGGGAGTTATAAAGGTGGTACACTATAGGGGTCCTTTATGGGCCCTTGTTGCTCTGCACCTTTTTGAACATGCTCGGTGCGGCGACTGCGCCAGCGGTTCACTGCGCAGTGAAAACTACGCGTGCGAAGCATCTGGAATTACCCACTTTAGAAAGCAGCGCCAGAGGCTGCGCGGCAACACGCAGGCCGCGCGCGCGGCCGCCGTGCCCCGCCAAAAGCGGATGCACTACATTGGGTTTCCTTGTGCTCGGTGCAGTGCAGCAGTGGGCCCCTCGTGGGACACGTTCGAGCCACCTCTTGGCCCACCGGGGCAGTTTGACCACACTTTTGAAACACTCTCGCGCGCGGCAACTTTCGGCCGCCTGCCGGTTTTGCGCACCAGAACATCTGAGCGGGAGCCTGCCGCGCGTGCTGCTCGCAGCAACGCGACAGCCACGCTGCGTGTTGCGCCGGAAGCACGGGAGAGCCGCCGTCTGACGTGAAGCGTTCGAGCCAAGCAATGCGCCGGAAGCACGGGAGAGCCGCCTCCAAGTGCCTCATTCGGGAAATGCGCCCGCCCCCCCCCCACAACCACCGACCTGCGTCTTTCAGTTACCACCCACCTGAGTTCTTGTTGGTGGTGGTGGTCGTGATGGTGCCGATGCTGATGCTGATAGCGATGCTGCTGGTGGTGGTGTTGACAACGATGATGCTGTTGATGACGGTGGCGGTGGTGGTGAGGGTGAGGGTGAGGGTGAGGGTGAGGGTGATGTCGGTGATGATGATGATGATGATGATGATGATGATGATGATGATGATGATGATGATGGTAATCGTGGTGATGATCAAGATGATGAAACTTACGACGACGATAACGGTGGTGATGAGGATGGTGACGATGGTGATGAGGGTGATGATGCTACTGATGGTGGTGATGATGATGGTGATGGTGGTGATGATAATGGTGATGATGAGAAGAAGACGCGGCCGCAGGGAACCCGCTGCTTCGCGTGCGTCCCCTGCGGGCATTCTGCGCGGGCGCGGGGCCCCAAGCCGCGGCAGCGGTCGTCGTCGCCGAGCGTCGCGGTCGTTGCTGCCGCGACGTTGGCGACCACGACGACGAGGCCGACGGCGAGGCCGACGAACCCGATTCGACGACGACGACTACGACGACGATGACGACGACGACAACGGCGCCGCCCTCGAGCCCGGGCGCCAGGGCCTTGGGGGGGGGAGGGGGGGGGGCGGGACACTCTGGCAACGCGGTTGGCCGCCACAAAAATCCCCGAAGTAGCGCTGACCGCGCAAAGGCGCCCACGCAACCGCGACGACGGCCCCAGGCCCCTCCCCAGAACTGCGATAGACGGGCAGACAGACAGACTGACAGAGAGAGAGAGAGAGAACGATTGAGAGCGAGAGAGAGGTGGATAAACAAAACGAAGGAAGAAGGAAGACGAAGGAGCAGGAGCAGGAGAAAGAGAACGAGAAGGAGAGAGGAAACAGACAGATAGGCGGAACAAGAAAGGGCGGCGGGGGACCATGATGGGCACCCTCGGGAGCAGCAGAAGGGCAAGGGCGAGAGAAGGAGGCTAGCAGGGGCAATCCCATTAGTGCTGCGAGCGACTGTGTCTCCTCTCGTCCCAAGGTGCCGCGACGTGATGTGCCCGCCGTTGCATTGCGACGTGCTCTGGGGGCGGGGGGGGCGCAGCTGCGGAAGCAACGGCAGCGTCGAGGACGACTGCAGAGCTGGTGGTGGCGGCGGTATCAGCTACATCGTTCGGCGGTGGCATCGGCAGTTCGCAGTGTCAGCGGCGGCCGAGGTGGTGGTGGCGGGTACCGTCTGTAGCGCACTCCTGGAGGCAACGACAGCGGCCACAACGGCTGCGGCAGTGCTGGCAGCCACGCCGTTGCGCAGCGGCACTATCTCTCGTCGCCTCAGGCGGCGGCGGTCGAGGTGGCGGCGGCCGCTGTGATGGCAGGGATTGCAGTGACGGGCTGCCATCTAGCTGGTTGATGGAACACCCTACAGTGAGCGGCTTGAATATAGAACACTTCCTTTTCAAAAGGGGCTCGGCGGTTCCTTAGGTTTGCATGCGTTGTTTATCGCTCCTTATGCGTTATGCGTTACTCCCTTGATAAAGAGGGGATTCGTTCCTTATTCATCGTTCCTTTGGTCAGGCCGATGACTGTAACTCTAGAGTGGTCCCACTGGAAGATCCTCAGGCTACTCTGAGATCCGACGTTGCGCAAAAATTGCAACATCGCGAAACATCACGCCCGCATGTTGCAATTGGGCCTGATCGCCAAACTGCCAACGAAAACAATGACAAACATGCTGCAAGTCGCCCGTTCCCAAACATTGCATTCAGGATTGCAACAGCGCCCCAGACCCCATCTTTCTGCGTATCTGTGAGGCTCCCGGGCCCCCCAAAACGCGAAAACGCCTTTTGTGAGAAAGTGCAACGCCAGGATCTCAGGCTACCATTCGGCCTGCCTTCTTCATCCTAGCCTCCTCGTCTCGAGCGCGAACAGGGATCCAAGCTTGCACGACTCGCGCCCCCGCACTGCGCCGGCACGGGGGGCAGAAGAGGTAGGATGACGACATCGCTGCATTCTTGCATTCGGCGACGCACGCAGACTGCGATACTCCAGATTTCGTAATAAAGGGAGGGGGGTCTCATTTCGGGGGGGGGGTCTCTTCCAGGCTATCTTGGAGGGCCTGGGGGGGTCTGGGGACGACGTTTTGGAGTGTTCTCCCACGGGGGGGGGTCTAAAACTTCTCGTCTGGGAGGGTTGAGACCCCCTCCCTTTTCTTTCGAAATCTGGAGTATTCAGTGGTGGGCAAGCGCTCAGAATCGACAGTGGTGGGACAATCTCGGAGGACATTTCCTACAATACATACGCTGCTTCATCCACTCCAGCAAGTATCCTTGGGCACGCCGACTTCCGTTCTTGTCCCTCCCTCTTCGGTTCCTGCCACCACGATCCCGATTCTCCTAGCTTCCGACTCCGGCGCCTATCCTCCCGACTGCCGCGGTCGCCTCTTCGATTCCAGTTCCTACCTCCACGGCTCCGGTTCTCCTATCTTCCGACTTTTGCGCCTAATTGTCCCGTTTTTTGTGAACGTCTTTCCGACTTTGGCTCCTACCCCACACGACTCTGGTTCTCTTATCACCCGGATACTGCGCCTATGTTTCCGACTTCTGCGTTCGTCTCTCCCACTCCGGTTCTTATCGCCACGATTTCGGTTCCTTCTTTTCGATTTCTGCGCCTGTTCCGATTTCTGCGATCGTCTCTCCGACTCAGGCTCGTATCCCCGCAACTCCGTTTCCCTTATCTTCCGATTATTGTGCCTATCTCTTTGATTGTTACGATCGTCTCTACGAGCCTGGCGATACGATACGATTCGAAAGCCGTGAGTCAATGAAGGACGCATGGGCAGAGAGCGCGCTTAAAAAGGTGCTAGAGCCGCGTCCAGCGCGCCAAGCAGGGGGAAGGGGGAGAGAAGGGGGAGAGAGGGAGGAGGGGAGAGGGTGGACACAAAAAGCTTCATGCACGCACATGATCCAGCTTGTACACGGATTGTGCCCATTGGCGGGTGCAGATATTGCAACATCGGCGCCATACAGTTGGAACAATTGTAGTCGATATCTACACGGACGACGACAGCGACTCCGACTCCTGCTCACAACGCGTCTCCTGAGGGCCCCGGCCACCCCGCGCCGCCTACGTAGGGCCGGTCCCGCCTCACCAACATGCGCGCTCGCGTCGCCTCTTCCTCTTCCTCCTCCTGCTCCTCCTTCTCTTCCTCTTCTTCTCCTCCTCCGCTTCCCAGTTCGATCGGCCAGGAGATCTACCACTGGGGTGACACAGGAGGGCAGTGGGGGCCTCTCTCCTACACTGATGGCTCAGGATATGAGTCCAGCCTTCCAGACGTTCGTCGGTGCGGACAGGCAGTGGTACAGCTGGATCCGTTGACTTGGCTGCCAGTGCGTGCAATCTATGGGCCGCTGCCGTACATAGTCCAGACGGTCGGCAGGGCGGAGCGTTATGCAGTCAAACTCGCCTTAGAGGTCCATCCGAGCCACGTTGAGATCGTCACGGACCTCAAGGGTTTGGTGGACGAAGGGACTCGATGGAGTGCTGATCTCAATCGCGCCAGATCGAAGCATGCGCGGGTCTGGCGTGACAACTTCCGCGCGGCCAGGGAGCGATCTCCAGGAGACGCCCTTCGTTTTCGCTGGACACCAGCACATCGCGATGCCAGCACGCTACTTGACCTCAGCGCGGCCGAGCTCCAGGACTTCTTGGGTAATGCCTGGGCTGACTACTTCGCGAGGCTGGGCGCTGCATCTCATGCGGTGGCGAAGGCCATGGCGGAGTCGGTGAAAGCCGCCTTGAAGCAGCACAGGCTCGTGCTGCAGTTCATCGCAGAGGCGTGCCTTCGCGGGGTCGCCCTCAAGCGGTACGGCAGGGATGACGACCCTCTGAAGCCGAACAGCCACTACATGGCCCCCGTCGTCTTCGAGCGCGCGGATGACCACGTCTTGTGGCGGTGCGACGAGAGTGGCTAGTATCGATGCCGACGGTGCAATGCGGCTGCCAGCACCCGATCCTCTCTGGCCACCTTGCGGTCGGGAACACTCAGAAGGTGTCAGCCCACGGCAGTAATGAAGGCCATGGCGCATGCGTACTTCTCCCAGACCTCTACTTGGAGGCCTGTGGTGGACTCCCGTGTGACCATTGCCTTCGAGGGAGCCTCACATGGAGTTGCAGAGCAACATCGATGCCGCTCAGGCCTCGCAGACGGCGATCGATGGCCAGTCCGCCGACGCCTCAGCAGCGGTCGATGACCAGATCATCGACGCTGGAGAAGATGGCCTCAAGACGGCTCTCGATAACATTGGGCACCAGGTGTTCAGAGTCGGCAACATATATTGCTGCGAGCGCTGTGCGGGCACATGTGATGCCGCCCGCCCTGCTGATGCTCGCAAGCGGCGCCGCCAATGTCTGGGCCCCGCCATTCACCCGTCGACATTGCGCAATCAGCTCAACGCGATTGGCCGCGTCCGACGGGGACGTCCGCCCCGCCAACGAGGAGGGCAGGACGAGGTGCAGGCGGCAGCCACATGAGGTTCGGCACGGCCTCTTCTACAAGACTGCTGGAAGGTTCTCTTTGGCACTGTGATCGGTCCCCAGATGGATCGATGCACCAGTCTCAATTCATATTTGGGACTACTTCCTGGAGGTTCTGCACGGCTCCTTCAACAAGAACGCTGGCAGGCTCCTTGGAAACGCGATCGGCCCCCGGATGGATTGACGCATCAGTCTCACCTTTCTACTTGGGACTACGTCCAGGAGTGCATCTTCGGGGGAGGAGGGAGGAGGGAGGAGGGAGGAGGGCTCCTGGACCGCATCGTCTGATGCGCGGCCCGCGCCGGTCGGCGCGGCCGCTTCCCCGCGCGCTGAGGACCCCGACCTCGGCGCGCTGCTCGAAACTCGAAGCTCCTCCTCTTCCTCCTCTTCTTCCTCCTCCTCTTCCTGCTCCTTCTCCTCCTCTTCCTCCTCTTCTTTCTCCTTCTCTTCCTCCTTCTCCTCCTCTTCCTCCTCCTCTTCTTTCTCCTTCTCTTCCTCCTCCTTCTCCTCCTCGTTTTCCTCCTCCTCTTCCTCCTCCTCCTCCGACTCCGGCTCGTATCCCCGCAACTCCGTTTCCCTCATCTTCCGATTCTTGTGCCTATCTCTTTGATTGTTACGATCGTCTCTCCGAGTCTGGCGATACGATACGATTCGAAAGCCGTGAGTCAATGAAGGACGCATGGGCAGAGAGCGCGCTTAAAAAGTTGCTAGGGCCGCGTCCAGCGCGCCAAGCAGGGGGAAGGGGGAGAGAAGGGGGAGAGGGAGGAGGGGAGAGGGTGGACACAAAAAGCTTCATGCACGCACATGATCCAGCTTGTACACGGATTGCGCCCGTTGGCGGGTGCAGATATTGCAACCTCGGCGCCATACAGTTGGAACAATTGTAGTCGATATTTACACGGACGACGACAGCGACTCCGACTCCTGCTCACAACGCGTCTCCTGAGGGCCCCGGCCACCCCACGCCGCCTAGGTAGGGCCGGTCCCGCCTCACCAACATGCGCGCTCGCGTCGCCTCTTCCTCTTCCTCCTCCTGCTCCTCCTTCTCTTCCTCTTCTTCTCCTCCTCCGCTTCCTCCTCTTTATCATATTCCTCCTCCTCCTCTTCCTTCTCCTCCTCATCTTCCTCCTCGTCCTCGTTTTCCTCCTCCTCCTCTTCCTCCTCCTCCTCCTCCTTCTATTCCTCCTCCTCCTCCTCCTCCTCCTCCTCCTCCTCCGCTTCCTCCTCCTCGTCCTTCTCCTCCTCCTCCCTCTCCTCCTGCTCCTCTTCCTTCTCCTCCTCCTACTCTTCTTCATCCTCCTCCTCCTCCTCCTCCTCCTCCTCCTCCGCTTCCTCCTCCCCCTCCTCCTCCTCCTCCTCCTCCTCCTCCTCCTCCTCCTCTTCCTCCCCCCCCCCTACATCACCCAGCATGAGAGTATCCCCAGCAGTGGCCACTCCGCAAGCGCCCGCGACGGTGACTGAATTTGCGCATTTGCCAGCCCCCATGGGTCCCCGTAGTGCGTCGCGCCGCTGGCCCTCCCAGCGGCTCACGAACGCGTCGACTGCCGCGGAAGGGGCTGCGGCCCGTGACGTGAGGCGTGTGCGCCGAGGTGGGCGCGAGGGGCGGCGGAGACTTACTCCACTGGTGCCAACATGTGTGTGGGACGGCATACCTCCTCCCGCTCCTCCTCCTCCTCCTCCTCCTCCTCCTCCTCCTCCTTGATCTCCCCCTTCCCCCTCCTCCTCCTCCAAATCCTCCTCCTCCCTCCCTCTCCTCCTCCTCCTCCTCCTCCTCCTTGATCTCCCCCTTCCCCCTCCTCCCCTCCTCCTCCTCCTCCTCCTCCTCCTCCTCCTCCTCCTCCTCCTCCTCCTCCCTCCCCCTCCTCCTCCTCCTCCTCCTCCTCCTCCTCCTCCTCCTCCTCTTCCTCCTCCACGCATGCCCCTGCTGTGGCAGTGAGTGTAGCCCCCTTCTGGAGACACTACAGATGTGAAGGGTTCCCGAAATGGGCGCGGGGCGGCGGCATGCGCACGCCCCCAACTGAGGCTCCAGGTGGGCCACCCCATGGGGGCACGCAGGAGTGTGCCGAAATCAACAGGCGCACGAAGAGGAGAGGCGGAGACGGGCGTATGGGGGAGGAGGCGAGGTGAAGGAGGGAGAGACGCGCGACGATACAGACTCAGCGCGGGGACTCTCAGGACGCATTGTCGAGGGAAGAATCACGGAGACCATGACCAAGGTGTCGCGGGATTTTGTCGATGTCGATCTTAATCATGGTCCGTCGCCCAGTCGCGAACATTATCCACGAATTGACGCTGAGCAAGACCGACGGTGACCAAGATCGACTCGACGTTTCCACGTTCAGTCTTGGTCATGGTCCCCGTTTTGTCTCCCTCAAGTCTGGGAAACCGAGAACCCAACACAGGAGAGGTAGGGAAGAAGCTTGCCAGACACCCGCCGATATGATTTTTCCCGTCCGCGGCCCCAGAGTTCCCGAGCCCTTCTCCGGAGGTAATTTTCCACCCTGGATCGGTTTTTGATGACTCGGGGCACGAGAGCATGCCACAGGGGCCGAAACCGAGGAAAAACGCCAGGATTGAGACAATCATCACGTCGGAGATTTGGGGACGCAGATCCATCGTGCTTGCACCCCCTCCGGCCCGCGGGCCGCAGCCCCTGACCCAGACCGCAGGGAAGCAAGCCTCTGATAGCCGCTCTTGACCGCCTTCGCGGGCAGGCGCGTGCAAGGCTGCGACGCTGCAGCGCAGAGAGGAGGAGGAGGAGGAGGAGGAGGAGGACAAGGAAGAGGAGGGTGGATGAGTGAGGAGGAGGGAGAGGAGGAGGGGGAGGAGGAGGGAGGAATAGGAGGAGGAGGAGGAGGAGGAGGAGAAGGAGGACAAGGAAGAGGAGGAGGAGGAATAATAATAATAATACTAATAATAATGATAATAATAAGAAGCATAATCATACGAATAATAATAGTAATAATAATACTAGTAATAATAATAATACTACTAATAATAATACTAATACTAATAATACTAATAATCATAATAATACTCATGATAATACTACTAATAATAATAATACTAATAATAATA